GATGGTCCACAAGAGGGAAAAGAAAATTCAGAGTGAGGGAAGAGTAAACTGTTAGGGAGGTTGATTAGTAATTTATGAACTGTTGGATACAAAGTTGATCTGAAATGTAAACCATGCCTAATTTACAAATTAAGAATTGATAAAAAATAAAAACAGACTGTGGGGGAATCCTAGAAAATACAAGGCTCTGGCCAACTCAAATTATTTTTAAGTGTGAATCTCAGTAATTAGCTTAACTAATTAAAAATTCTCACATTAAAGCAAACAACTGTTTTATGCATTTCAAATCTAAACATTGCTTTAATCATGCACATCTTTCAGAGTAGCAGTTTTTATAGTCTCTTGAAGTTTTGACAACTCATCTATTATGAATTATGGAAATAATCATGTTAACAGGAAGTTACTTGTATGGCAATGTTAGGGGACCCCCTGCTGTCAGTAGAACTCTTCCATGTAGATTTCCAATTTGAGGATTACGAAAATAAGAGCTAAAATGAGTCATTAAAAAAATAGACGATCACAGAACATATAATATGGAAGAACAATCAGTAGAATGTGTCCAGGAAAAAATACTTAGGATTTTTTTGCCCTTGTTTCCCGAGAATTTAATTTAGCTCAAGTTTAATGCCTTTGTAGACACTAGTAACTTGTGAGATTTCCATGAATATTATTTTGTAATTTTCTGGTCTATTTGGAATATGGTAGATTTTCTACTTTAGCATTTTCTAGTTGTACTAGAAAGAAGTGGCTTCCTAAGGGACAGAAAAATTCCTCCTGCATCATTGAATTTGATGAGGTGATAGTTTTATCAAAGTGCAATTACACAACAAAAAATTTGACAAAATTTTGAATATATCAAACTTTAGATCGAGATTTGCATGATTTATCCCTGATACCTAGGGATGCATGAATACCTTGTTGTTTTGTTTTGTTTTGTTTTAAAATAATTCATACCCAGACATTACAGACTTCTGGAAGAAGCCTTCAAGTCCGACAAGTTGTGATTATATGTGCTTCCGCCTCCCACACCTTTTTTTTCTTTTTTTAAATTGGCAAAAAGGAAAAAGGTTTTCTTTTTTTAAAACTGCGCACCCTTTTTGGGGGGTAATAAATGAACATTTTTTTGTTTGTTTTTTTTAGAACTGAGCTCCCCATAGACAAACATAAATAGCATAACACAGTGTCTTTCCTCAGACATCATTCTGTACAGTCAATCAACATAAACAACTCCGTTCTTATTGACTGGATTTTTTTCCAGGTGGGTTAATTGGGTGGGGAAAATTAGTTAATTAACCTTAGCATTTAGAGCCTCTTTTCTTCCTGTTAAAGGATGGGTTCTTTTTAGAAAAATAAATGAGCTGAAAACCTATCTTTCATAATAGATTGGTAACTTGTACTGGTTACTTTTTTTTAAATATGTAGAGCAATTATTACTACACAACTACTAGGGATCATCTGGATGCGCTGGTATAATAATGTGGATAAAATGTAAACCAAATGGTGATTCTCCGACTTCCTCTCACGTTCAGTCTGAAGTTGGCTTCCAGATCTATGGGTCTAAAAGCTGCGTTGCTTCTTCACACTGTCTTGCACAAGTGTCACAGCTTTACAAAGGGAATGGGGTTGAAACTTGGGAAGTAAGCCATTCTCCTTGCTGTGTTCACCTCAAGCTAAATTCCCTTTTGAATTCAAACCACTCATAAAATGTGGTGGCCAAAATGCTAAAATTTTATTTGGGAATAATCTTTACTGGGATCATGAGCCAGTGCCAAGTATTCAATTTTGAAAACACTATTTTTCATGCTGAAATGTGTTAGTGTTTTTAAGTGTATATGATAGCTACAAGTTTCTATAAAGTGTTTCCTCGTTTTATGTTCAGCATTCACAGCCGAACAATACCAGCAACATCAACAGCAACTGGCACTAATGCAGAAACAGCAGCTTGCACAAATTCATCAACAGCAAGCAAATAGTAATTCCTCCACCAACACATCACAGGTGAGGGATTTGTCTGTCTTATGATTATCCCTCATTGTTTCCTGCCAGAGTTCATCTCTAATTATCAACTGTTGTCATAGAACCTTGCATCTAACCAGCAGAAAAGTGGCTTTCGCCTGAATCTACATCATAGCCACTCTATACAGGGTTTAGAAAGAACATTGCAGGTGAGTATGGAAGCTGTTGACTCTGTTCCCTATTTAAAAACACAAAACAAAACTTAAGGCATAGTTAATTGAGATAAAAACCCCATTTGATCTCTAGCCCATTAATGTACCTCTTTAAAATTTATCCCTACCCAATTTGTTATCTGGGGCATTTATTGTTATGATTTTTTTTTTTTAATCTCACACTAAAAAAGCCTCTTTTACTATTTGAAAAACTCCATTTTAAACTTAGATAACAAATGTTTGCCATTTAAGTGCACTTAAGGGCCAAAAGGTGGAGATTCAAGCCTAGCACCTTGCAGCAACAATTCACCTTAAAAAGTTCTAAAGGTCTCTCAATTTCTAGACTAAATTGTTATTATTTTGTTGTTGTTCCAGTTCTTAAAGGATATTTTATTATCCCAAAGATATCTCTGGTTGTGTGTATATATGTGTGTATAAATAAGGTTAAGGAAATCTATATATTTGTTTATTCTATGTATTTGTGAAGTACAAATTGTTATACTAGAGTTTTTTTCGTCTAGCACTGTTGGAAGTTCGCAGTTTCTACGTTGTAGGATTTTAATTTATTTTGATAATTGACTCATACATAGTATATATTTTCACATATGAAAATCAGAATTTGTGGCCCTTGAGTGACACGGTTACTTGTTACTCAAACATGATAATCAAAAGAAGTGATTTGCCACTTTCTCTCTGAGATTTAAATTGATTTTGGCACACCTGTGTAGCTTTAGTATGAACTTGATATTAAATGATACTGATGAGATTTATGGTTCATTGTCGTTTAGGGTTTTGTTTCCAAGACTTTGGATTCTGCTAGTGCCCAGTTTGCTGCTTCTGCTTTGGTGACATCAGAGCAACTGATGGGATTCAAGATGAAGGACGATGTGGTGCTTGGGATTGGGGTGAATGGCGTCCTTCCTGCCTCAGGTAAGGAACAGGGCACCTAAATTGGTTACTTCTATTTCTAGCAAATCTGTAATCCAAGTAGCAAAGTCACACATTGCTTAGATGCTTCTTTCTTTTTCTCTCTAGGAGTATACAAGGGCTTACACCTCAGTAGTACTACACCGACAGCACTTGTACATACAAGTCCATCAACAGCAGGTTCAACTTTGTTACAGCCTTCAAATGTAACACAGACTTCGAGTTCCCACAGTGCACTGGGTCATCAAGTAACTGCTGCCAATTCTGCAACAACTCAGGTTCTGATTGGGAACAACATTCGATTAACTGTACCTTCATCGGTTGCCACTGTAAACTCCATTGCTCCCCTAAATGCACGACATGTACCTAGGACTTTAAGTGCTGTTCCGTCGTCTGCCTTAAAGCTGGCTGCCGCAGCGAACTGTCAAGTTGCCAAGGTTTCATCTTCATCTTCCGTGGATTCAGTTCCAAGGTGAGCAGTTATTTTCAGGAAAAGAGTTTTGAAAATTAGGACAATTTAACTTTAATTCTGTGACGTTGCTTTTGCCTAATTCTTTTCTCTTTTTTCCTTTTATCCATTTAAAGACATGGATAATAATTCCTTATTTATTCAAGAACTAAACAGACGTATGTTATAGTTCAGTGTTAGTGGAGATTTGTAACCAAATGATAAGAGTGAAAATATTTACTTAAATGTTTTGGGTATCCCTTTCTTAATATAAGGAGCCCTGGTGGTGTAGTGCTAACATGTCGCACTGTGATCCACATGGTCAGCAGTTCAAAACCACCAGCGGCTCCATTGGTGAAAGACGGGGCTTCCTGCTCTCAAACAGTTAACAGGCTTGAGAAACCCACCAGGTGTTCCGCTCTGAGTCAGCAATGACTCAGTGGCAGTGAATTCTTAATATAACAGTAGCTTACAATGCATTCGTTTTCTTCCCCCTTGATATTTTTAATCTTTAAGAGTTCATATTCACAGATTACCGTGAGGAAAGTTGGACTGGGCAGAACTATGTCTACAAAGTTAAACTCTTAATATTTACTGCTTAAGTACTCGTGCCAGTTCTACTTTTAATGAAACTGTTGTTTCTGTGATGGCTTGTCTTCTTGAGTTTCAGTCTGTGGCATAGAATGTTCAGGATCTGTTACTTTAAATGCTGATGATAATTCAGATCCTGCTGTTTGCAAGGTACTGTGTGAGAAATAAAAGTACTCCCGTGGCATTGTGTAGTAAGCACCCACCAGCCACTCTGTGGGAGAAAGACGAAGTGCTGTGCTTCCATCAAAAGCCTGAGAATCTGGGGTGCAGGGTCACAGTGAAATGGAATTGGCTCAATGGCAGTGGAGTTATGGGTAAAATAAAAGGGAACAACAAAGGGTTTTCAATTTAGTTAGAAGGGAAGCATAAAGGTATGGAAAGTTAAATACCTGAAAAATCTTCCTAACAGTATCCCAGTGCATTATATTTGTCAACTAATTGTATAGATCATAGGTTCCCAAACTTAGACGGCCTACCATCCCCTTTTCAGAATATTCAACACCTTCCTGGCAAATTCACAACGTTTGTGCAGTAGCCCCTAATCCAGGGTCTGCTTTTGCAGCGCACACCCACACTGCTGCCCCTCCATTGTGCCAGTGACCCCTGGGGGTGATATTGCCCACTGTGGGAAACATTGGTAGAGATGATGGCTGTCATTGCAATATAAGCAGACACCTTGTCACACCAAGAGTATTCACGAGATATTCTGCAAAATTAGATCAGGTTAAATCTGTGGTTGAATTTGGTTGAACTTGATCAGGAAAGGGGCATTTCAGTCAGGTACGTGGACTACGTGAAAATAAAAAGTTGGGAAAATATAAATGTATTCAGAAATTAATGAATGACTAATTTGTTTCAAGGTTTGGGAAGGTTAGTAGTTTGAATGGTAGGAGGAGCCAAACTGGATCCCCTTGAATACCAGACTGAATTTTAGATACCTGCAGCCGGGAGTGACCCGGAAGGAGAAACAGGGCCTGTTGCTACAGATAGCAGCCGGTTTCCCAGGCTTGCTCATTCCTGTCAGCTACTAAGCTTAAGTAATAGTCATATCTGTTCAGTACTAATCCATTCTTAGTAATATTTTTGATCCAATAAAAGCTAGCCAATCCATTATGTGAGTAGTTCTGAAGTAAATATTTTCACTTAAATACTTTGTCTAAAAGATTTTCATTGCATAGAATTGAATAACCTTGGAACGCTATCAGTGGGTGTCATTTTAAATCATTTATTGTACTTCTTTGTTTTGAAGATGAGGAGACTGAGGCCCCGAGAAACTAACTGACTTCTCCATGAACACTCAACAACCTAGGTGATAGAACAACAAAAATTCTGACCTTCCGTGTGCTAGCTCAGTACCTGTTGTACCCAACATACAGTCTTCATAAATCCTGTGGCATACACTGTTAGGGGATTTATAAGATACAGGCATTAAGATACATGAATTAAAAGCAACCATTCCTTTCTGTTGTACATCAAAATTGTATGTAAACCAGAACAGCTGGGTACAGTTCATATCTAATATCTGTCCTTCAAATGTTTGTCTAAATATATAGTGTACATATCTATGTGTACTAACAAGTAAACACTTCCAGGTACACTAAACATCTTTAATGATACCGCAGTGTAATGTTTTCATGTGCATAACGTAGGAGACCTGTTTGTTACTACAGACCATTGCATCTACCTCGTTTTCAATAGAGTAGGCTCTATGGGGCAGTGACCACAGATGGATTGTGTCAGAATGCTGTACATAAAGTATACAGCTCATGCCTGCAGCAGAACCCCCGACTTAAACTGGTGACGTGAACCTCAGTCACATTGTTTCTTTTTGTAAGTTCTTGTAAATTTAAGACTGGAGGAAATTGAACACAGAAGGACATGGAAAATACAAACTAAAAGTTGAGAATTCCTTGTGTGTTTAATATTGAGGTTGAAATATCCAACATCTTCCTTAAGCTGGGTGCTACAGCAGAGTACCAAGTTTCCACGAGTTTTGTTCCAAGAGATAAAGTTGACTGTGAAATTTAATAGCCTTGTTTCCACCTACATATTCCTGATGATAAATGCTGAAGGAGTATTTCTTTAGTCGGCACCATATTTCCCAAAACATAATCATATTCCTACTACTAAAATGAATTAAGCTCTTTCCTGGGAAGATGGTTTTGGCTTATTAAATCTATATATTGCAGATAAGTAATTGATTGAACTTGTGTTAGTCTGGGTACTTCAGAGAAACAAATCCACAGAAACTCATGTATAAGAGAGAGTTTATATAAAGGTTAAGTGCACATCAAGAAAACATCCCAACCCAGTGCTGCCCAAACCCACAAGTCCAACATTAACCTATTAATCCATATGTCCAACACCAATCCACAAAGTCCTCCATCTCATAAAACAGAGGCAATGATGCCGACTGCAGGCGAAAGCTGAGTCAGTGAGCGTGTAAACATCTCAGCACCCAGGGCTGCATCGGGGTAGGTCCATGCGGCTTCTCCTTGGGGATGTCTTGCAGGAAGTCAGCCTTGCAAGCTAAAGCAGGGAACAGCTAAGGCAGCTGCGCCCTGGTCTGACCATCAGAAAGCAAGAGACCCGAGAAATAAAAAGGCGAGATTCACTGAGCAATTTATCGCCCAGCCCTTCAATTAACCCCACCTGTGTTTATCGGCCAGGTTGGCACAATAAACTAACTCAAAGTTTTATTTCAACAGGGAAAATCATGAATCGGAAAAGCCAGCACTGAACAACATAACTGACAATACAGTAGCGATGGAGGTGACGTAGTTTCCTCGGGAGTGGCACCGCAGCCTCGGGGACTTGATTAGGTGCTATGCATCAGTAGCATTTTGAATGCAAGGGATGATGGAATGCAACACATGCGTTTCTGTGGCAGCTGTGGGGACTTGGCAGCAATGCTCATCTCTCATGCTTCGATTTTTCTTTTCTTACTGTTAATAGGAAAAAATCAACATCTGTAAATTAAGAATACAGCAATTATCTGTACAGTACTGCATATTTGTAATACCCCTGTATATATGTTACTTGAATACAGAAATGTTCATTTGTGATGCTTTGCACTTGGGGGTGGGGGGGTGGGAGGGAAATAAATTGCAACAAAGAGTGTGAGATGTGAGATTGTATAGAGATGAAGTGTCATCACATCATGTGCATGGTGCGGAACCTGCTGTTTTATCTATTTATTGTGCCGTGTTTACAGTTTTTTGTACACTGTACCTTTATTGGTTCCTGTGCTGTAGTAAATGTGTTAGGTAGCTGTGGACTCCTTGGTATTTTGTAAATGGTATAACATAACTTGGTTCCCTTCTGGGTCCCTGAGTTTTCTGTGTATCATGTGAAAAAAAAAATGGTGACATACATACAGAATTTTACAAAAAACAAAAACAAAAAAGACAAAAAAAAGGCATCAGTTTAAAGATAAAAATGGGGAATGTACTGTTAAATGGGGCTCTTCCTGGTCTACTATCATTAGGACAAGTAACAAGCTAAAAATGAAGTCTCTTGAATCTTCCCGTCCCCACGTGCCCGCAAGAGAGTGGGTGGTTTCTGGTACTTAAAGCACTAATGTTAGGGTGCTGCTCTGCAAACAGCCCAGTAGTCCCATTCCCTTCCACACCGCAAAGTGTTGAATCAAGTATGCAAACGGAGTCCTTACAACTGGAGTTTATGTTGTCTTGCCCTTTTTTTAACCACACATAAAAAAAATGTACTTTTTTATTGTCGAATTGTTTAAAAGACTTCATTCTTTACTTGTTCTTATCAAAAGGATATAAGGGAGAAGAATGCAGTAATTGCTGTACGTGTATCATCATTCCAGTTTCTAAAAACAGCCAGCCAGCTTTTTTCCTTTTAAGATTCTCCAGAAGGCTGCAAGGCCAGAGCCACAAATATCGGGTGCCTTCCTTTGGAACTATTTGACCTCTCTTCTGTGAAGAGACTGGTACTTAACAGACTACTGCTAGTGCTTTGTCAGTACCGCAGTCTGAATGCCCAGTCCAATGGCACACATCATCCTTAAGGTTTTTAAATCCCACCTGGAAATATTGTGACAGAAATCTCACAAAATAAACCCAGGGCATTACATGTTGACAAACTAATGTGTAGTGGTCTTTTGCTTTTATTTGCAGTCCAAGAGCTTTTGTGTGAATTAAAATCGTTCAATGGGATGGGGGAGTGATAACTTTTTGTAATTCCTTTTCTGCAATTATTTCTTGAATGCCTACTATGCCATGGATGGTGACATGTCCATTGAAAAGCCCGTCCCTTCATAGAGCTTCATCTCTTGGGGTTGGTTTTTAAAGAATATTAATTACATATCAAAGGAGAACAGTACAGAGGGGTGAGGGAGAGTGGTGCCAACTTGGCTCAGAAGTTGCAGTTTCCAGTAAGGTGATCACGGAAGGATATCATAACCCATTGGCCGTCCGTTGAATTCTGAATCATAGCAACCTTGTGGGACAGAGCAGAACTCTCCATAGAGTTTCTCCCACGGTGCGGCTGATAGTTAACAGCATTCCAGACAGAAAACAAAGACCCTGGTGTGTTGGGGGGTGCTCAAAGAGCAGCAGTGAGACAGACGGCATGAGGGAGGGCAGGCAGACAATTTCGAGAAGTAATATCATCTAAGCAGGATTCCTCTAGCTTGTGTTGAGAATAACTGAAGGGGGGGACCAGAAGAGAAAATGTGTTGCAAAAAGCTAGCTAAGAGATGAACTGGCCTGTAGTGAGAAGGTTTAGATTCTGTGTATAAAGTTTGACCCAAGAAAATTTGCTCACTGGATAGATGTGAGATATATGGGGAAAGAGATTGGAGAATGAGTCCAAGGGAAGGGTAATCTGGCCCAAGGAACTAGCCACAGTGCAGAGCACTGGAAGAGGAGGTCTGAGGGAAGAGCCTGCTCAGTTTTGGACTGGAAACGAAACGCATGGAGCATCCAAGTAGAGATGTCAAGGTGACTGCAGCCCCACTCGGATTAAGTGTACACAAGAATAAACCAGACTAGGATGAACATTTCTAGAGTCAGTGGGTAGAATGGGTTCTAGGCCCGTGTGATTGATATGTAGTACATGTAGTGTCCACAGGCAAATAGAGGGGGCAAACACCCCCTCCAAAAAAAAAACAATGTTTTTCAAGCTATGCATTTAAATTTTTTTTTTACAAAATACCTTTATCACCTTCAAAGTACTCTCCATTACACTTAATACATTTGTCAAATCCGCAATTCCATTTTGGAAACATTTTTCAAACTCGTTTGGATGGCTGACAGCACCTCCCTCGTTTTTTTTCTTCACTCTTCTATGTTGTCAAATCATGTCCTTTCATGTCCCTCTGCATTCGTGGAAACAAGTCGCACAGAATGGAGTCAGGTGAGTAAGGTATGTGGGGCATGCTGATTTTTGCAACTGGTACACCGAGATGGCTGTGTGAGCAGGTGCATTGTTGCAGTGGCAAATCCAGTCCCCTGCTTGCTGGCAGCAGGCCTTTCTTGTCACACGCTGTTAATGCAATCTTTTTTAGATTGATAAGCAGTCTATCTCGTGGAATGAGCTCCAAATCCACTGTCCCCCTCACATTAAATAAACAAATGAGCATCAGTTTTGGGGTGAAGGGTTACTAAGAAAATGAGACCACGTTGGGCTGAGAAGTGACAGACCATGATGAGTGTGCATGTGGCAGCGTTCACCTAGTTGACTGCATGAATTCTTGAGATGAAGAGAAATTAAACTTAAAATTCACACGTTTTAATGTAAGGAAATTTACTCAAAATTGAGTTCTCTCTAAAGTTGCTGATTTTTTTTATATACTCTGCTGCCAACCCTACAGTGTGACCGAAGTGAAGCACTCAGTACAAAGTAGCAATTTCAACAGGACCTTAGGGAAAGAGCAGAATAGGTCTAGGTGGAACTTGGCCACCTCATCTTAATAGTGACGTGGTGGTTACACACTGGGCTGCTAACTGCAAGTCCTGCAGTTCAAAACCACCAGCCACTTTGTGGGAGAAAGACGAGGTTTTCTATTCCCATAAAAGGGAAAATCTAAGAAACTTGGGACAGTTCTACCACGCCCTGTAGGGGTGCTATGAGTAGGTATTGACTTGATGGCAGTGAGTTTGGTTTTTGGGCTGAGTGAGTATTTACGATGTGACTGCATAGGAATTAATCCTTTATCTCTTCTGTAGATACAAGATTGTCACCGTTTTATAGGTGAAATTAGGTCATTCCTTAAGGGTCCTAGGTGATTAAATGGTAATCCAGTATTTGAATAACTGCCAAATTTTAAAGCTGGCATTTGTTTTGCCTGCCCCGTAGTCCTGAAGGGGCCCAGCGGCACCGTGAGTGACAAGTTGGGCTGCTAACCTCAAAGTGAGCAGCTGAACACCTCCAGCCGGCCACGGAGAAAGATGGGCTGCTTTGCACCTGTGCAGGTTGACAGCCCAGCAGCCGACGGGCACTTCTCTTCACGAGGAACCGACCATGGCAGTGAGTTTCAGTTTGACTTTATCAGCCTGGAACATAGCTTCCTTACTATCCTCTGCTCCTCTTGCGTTCCTAAAGAATCCCATACTGTTGTTTCTATTACTCTGTGGGGTTTGTATCTATTTCACGAACGCAAACAACTGCCATACACAATGGATGTCCGTACACAATGGATGTTGACATCTCATTTTTCCAACAGGTCTATTCCACGTATTCCAAACTCCAAATTTAGAGTTTCCATGAATACTGTACTTATTTCTAATCTGCGACAGTACGTACAATACTTAAAATGTGTTCCCGAAAAGAAACCAGAAGAGCACTGTCATCTAGTCCCTGAGCCCCTAGTGACCCGAAGGACAGAGTAAAGTTGCCCGTTGGGTTTCTGAGGCTGTAAATCTGTGGTGAAGCTGCTTACCATAGCTCTCCCAGGGAGCAGCCGATGGGTTTAAAGAGCCAAGCCCTGTAACCGCTGTAACGCTGGGCCTTCAGCCTCCACTCGTGCAGCAGATCCACTTCTGTAGAGTGATTTCTATGTATGCATTCTTGCAACAAAAGGGGTCTGCTGTTTTTAAAAAAGGTAGACGGTCACAGCAACAGAGGAACGAATGGATCTATAAATAATGCATTGATCCAACAGGTATTAGCCATACCAGGCACTACTGTACCTGTTGAAAACAGCAATACTCAAAACCTCTGCCTTCATGTAATATCCATTCTCGTAGAACGTGCATTAAAGAAGAGACAACATTAAATCAACATGCTGGTGATGTTAGCACTAACAGCATA